CCATATTTTAGGATAATGGCCTATCTTAGTGTTGGAACTCTTCCCAATTCTTATTTCCCACCCTGTTTTCTAATAAAATGCAGATTCTATCAGCATCCAGTTAACCTGCATATGACTGATGACTCATCTAAGGCTGACTCTGTCCCCATTTTCAGGGAGGATGCTATTAGGTCTAAAATAATTATGGTAATGGTATTTCTAGTGTGTAGATGCTCCTGAGGTCCAATTCTGCCTATGAGATGTGAAGGAAAGTTTGCAAGTGTGCTTCTAGGAGAGATTTTTTTCCCTTTCTAGGAAAGAAAGTAAGGAAAAGATAGTTTCATTCCTTCTCCAGATTTTATATTTGAATGTGATGCCTGAAAATGCTACATGCATTTGCAGCTTCCAGGCCATATAGCCAGAGGGCATAATCAGCACTCTGATGATGGAGGGCAGATGGAAATAATCTAGTACCTGATAACTTTATTAAGTAGTCAAGTCAACTAATCTAAAGGACTGTCCCAACTCCAAGCCTGATATATGAGCTAATAATGTCCCCCACTTAAAAAGTAAATCTGAATAAAAATTTATGCTACTTGTGTGTGAAAAACATCACAATTTACATATGGGCTATTGTCATTTCTGGTGCCTGGCATCTGTTCTATTCTAATGCTACCTTTTGGGAATTTACTTTTTACTGATTTGTAAGAAGGACTCTTAGTGGAAATATGCTTCCAAGTAGACAAGCAGAAAAGACGATCTTTCTTCCCCCCAGAACACCAGGGAATGGGCAGTTATCTTAGTTTGCTCTAGCCTGTTTTACCCCTTGCCTTTAATCTCAAGATGCTGGTGCAAGAAAGAAAGGAATATAGGTGATAATGTTTACTGAGTGCGTGTGAGCTGACCCAAAGATCCTGGAGACTTGGGCTGTATTTCCTCCTCTGCGGTTCACTGTAGGTCCCTTGATTGCTTGCCCTTTCTCAAGCTCAATTCTCCCAGTTTCCTTTTATTCTTTGATTTTCACTTGATATATACATCGATATTATCATATTAAATTCCTTCTTGCATATGTAAACTGGAATTGACTTCTGTATTTTGAGGAAAACAATAGTCAGCTCACCAGGAGATCTATTCTCAGCACTAAGACTCAACAGTGAATTTGTACTGATGTAAACTGGTCAATCTCACACATTTTGTGTAACACAGTAGTTTCTCTCCTCCCTCATATAGAAGACCCCATTTTTAACCTAAGAAAAATCATACCAAACTCCAAACCATTTCAGTTGTAAAAGAACAGGCAGTTTCTGTGACCATGGCTGCTGTAAATGAACCTCAGAGGTTTACTAGTGGGTTTGGTGAGAACTTGGAACCTAAAGCTTCAGGTTTCACCGGTTTTATTTAATTTAACCTTTTAGTTAATGCTAAAATTATAAGCCTCCAAAATTCCAGTCAAGCTTCTCAGATAGTAGAAAGTGTAACAAATATCTGTTTTCCTCCACACAATTTTAGGCTCTGAAACCAACAAAAAGAAGATCTATCTCCACAGTGAAAACATTTTTGTGTGTGTGTTAGAGTACTTCTAGGACCCATTCAAATAACACACACTCTGAAAAGAAATACAAAAGCATATAAAAGTAGAATTAGGATTAACTTCTGGCCAAAGAGTATTATACTGCCGATGGTTAAAATCAATGTAGTATTGGCATTTCCCAAGGTTTTACTAGAATTATGACATGGCAGATGCAAGATCCCTTCCAGATGACCTGCTCAGATTCTTAATTTACCAAGAATAAAACTGAAGTCTTGAATATTGTTAGTGCTTTGCTGAAAGTAATAGCGGTGGGTCTCAGACTCAGGACTCCATGTTCTGAGTCCAACATAGCACCTGCACCAACGTTTTGCTTTGTTGTTTCCTTCAAGTACATATTTCAACTGTTTGGACTGTCATTACTTCTTGAAATCCTATTTAACTTGATCCAGGTCAGATGTAATTTCCTAAAATGCCTGTAACCTTCTCCAGTCCCTCTTGTACTCAATTCTCAGGTCTTTCTATGCCACCTTTCCCATCCCTTCATTAACTGCTTGTTATTTCATTGTATACATACCTGACATCCTCACTAAATTGTAAATTCTCAGGGAACACAGATTTCCCTTTTCATGTTCACTTTATTTATAGTTCCTAAGAGTATATGTGTGTGTGGGTTTGCTGACTTGCATTAAAGTACATTCAATAAACATCTCCACCCCCATAAAATATGTATGGGAATTCATGGTTTAAAATATTAGTCCTCATTAGGGAAGGGTAGATGGGGCGAAGGGAGGGCAGGGGAATGGGAAAAAATAAGAATCAAGATATATCATGTGAAGGTACAAGATCCCAATGATGAATGTAACTGTATTGCATACCCAAAATGTACCAATAAAGAAAAAGGAAAAAAAAAAGTTAGTCCTCTTGGCATCCCAACAAGCACCTCCATGGATACACAGTGCTTTAGCCTAAAGCACTCATTAACTGTCAGGATATCAGGACTGGTATTAGATTGGCAAACAGATAATCTGTGGTTGGTAGTATTCCAGCCTAAGCACCCAGGCAGCCACTGACTTCATCTACTTGCAGGGTCTACTTAAACGTGAATAAGATAATCCTGAATATATCATCCAGGACACTCAAGAGTGAAGAAAGAAAATCCTTACTCATTTTGACTTAGGTAAGAATGAAAAAAATTACTTCACACAATGGGAAGTCAACAAGGAGCAAAGGCTTCAAGTCTGGCTGGTTCACTGTCCATTTCATTTCCCCATAAAATTCCTTTCATCCTTGGTCTCTAAGGCTCTTGGTATTGGCTTTTTTTTTAGTTTGGTTCTCTCAGTCATTAGATACCTGCTCGTAGAAATGAGTACTACATGCTTCCTTATTTACATCAAGCGAGAGAAAGTGGTTCCCCTCCTCATTATACTATGAAAATCTATCTGTTCAGTCTGAATTTAGGTCATATAACCAACATGAGACCACTTAGCGTCACAGCTGGAGAGCCTGCTCCTGCCCTAATATTCAGGACTATCTCTGGAGCTAGTTTCTCCTTATTGTTTTGAGGTGCTTCAGGGAGAGGAGGGTGCTTAAACAAATTCAGGTTTTGCTCACAAGGATGAAGGAAGGATGAATGCTAGCTAGGGAATCATCACAGTAAACTTAAGAATGGCAATGCTTCAAATTATAAATTAGTATGAACAATCCCCTTTTTGTGGAGTTCTGAGTTGAGCTGAGTCAAAAGAAAGAAGACCACTTCCTTCAAATGAAGCATGTGTGATAAATAATATTTTGGTATTGCCTTCCCATTGGATCAAATGTGTTAGATTCTGATGGTTTATGAAGGGACAGATCAGGGGAAAATGCTTTTTATCCTATGGATGCCTATTTTGGAAATCCATGTCAATTTATAACCTCCTAAAATATACAATCTCTTTATCAGAAAATTCACTTGATTTCCCATTCCAATTCTTCTGGGTTCTTAACCATGAGACAATTATTTGGAGTGGGCCCTTTCTTCCCACCTACTTATACACAAGTTGATGGTGATTCATTGAAATTGTGCTACGTTGATCAGGGCGATTAAGGAAGAAGAAAAGCACATTATTGTGCCGGGAAATGGACATTTTTTCTCAAGATTAAAAAAAAATGTGCAAAAGGCAAATTACTTGTGGGTCTTCAAAGACTCCCTGCATATGTGCTGTGTTTAGTATCATCCTCTGTGTGCAAGAGGTCAGTGCTAACCTGGATAGAAAATGCTTCATGGTTTGGAATATTCAGAGTGATTCGATTCCACAGGGAAACATGGATACTCTCTTTTGCTTCCCATTTGCTTGGAAGGCACAACAGTGGGGGCTGCCTTTCTGTGATACGTGAAGTAACACAGGGAATATGCTTTCCTGGAAATAAATCATCCTCAAAGCATCAGAAATATAATCAAACAAATATCTAACTTCAATGGAGATGCAACAGCTGCTCTCAAATGTGGCTGTGTTTATTCCATGACTAATAAACACAGAAAGGAAGTGGGAAACCTTGACAAGTCTTAATGGGGCTCCTGAGGAGGACAGTTCCTAGCAATGATGCTTGCTTTCACCACACAGCCAACTCAAAGATTCACTTGTATAAGGAAGAAAATAGCTACTTTAAGGCAAAAGTAGCAGGGTTCCTGAACTCTACAGTCACATACTTCCTAAAGCTTCTCTGCAAAGAAATGACAAGCTCACATAATGTAACAGGAGGCTCGGAGCACTTCTTTGGGATTTGGAATATGTTCAGAAGCCCTTCTGCTGACAGGGATCCTCACAAGTCCTCAATCATATGACACAAAAACTGAGGAGGAATTATACTTTTCTTACAAGCAGCATAATGTATTTCTAAGTTCAATTCTACTATTCAGCTTTTTCAGGAGGAAATAGTTTACTGCTGAAAAATATTATATCCTAATCAAAATTGTATACATTTGGGGTGGGTATCTCTATATGGCCCAAATTAGTTTCCCTTATATTCATGTGTCATGATTGGGTACTGCTCTGATTATACTCAAGTGAAATTAATAGGATGGACATGTAAATAACAAATAGTTTCTCTGGTGTGATAAACTAAAAGTCTAAATAAGGATCAAAATGTATAATTGATACTGTGTAATAGGAAGAAAAAATCTAAAGGTACAGGGGGATGTGGGAGCGGTAGGGGAAAGGTAAGAATGGAAAAGAAAAAGTATGAGAAAAGGAAAAAAATGGAAATGAAGTCTTTGTAAATAGGGAAGGGTGGAGGGAGTGAAGGGAGGGTAGAGGAATGGGGGAAAAATAACCAAGATACATCGTGTAAAGGTACAAGATCCCAGTGATGAATGGAACTGTATTGTATACCTGAAATGTACCAAAACAAAACACACTTGGTTTTAATACTCATCATCTGGTCTAAAACGAAAAAAATAAAAATCCTTCTATTCATTAAACACTCCTGTTTTTCTTTCTTATTGATCTTCTAGGAAAAGGCAGAGCGCATTTCCTCTTCGGTCATTATGCGATACACTTTGATAACTATACTCTCCACTTACTTCTTCATGACTGTCTCATGGATTTATCGGGCTTTACTGAACACGCCCTCCACATCTTGCTCATCTCCTGGATTTTGTATCTTAGCTATGGGCTTTCCTACTCTCCTCTCACTAGTCCTTCTTACTTTCCCGTAAGAATTCCTTTTCCTGTACCAATGCTGACCAGAATCTTGCTCTCTGCTCTCGTTTGGGGTGTACTGGAGATCGAACTCTGGATCTTGTGCTTGTGAGGCAGGCTGCAGAACCACTGAGCTAAATCCCCAGCCCCTCTGCTCTTTACTTACCCTCCTGCTGACTGATCACTGTGCTCACGTGCCTCCTGTAAGCCATCACTTTCCTGTTAGCCCATACCAATACTTTCAGCTTCATCACCAACACCAGGCTGACCAATAGACACCTAAACGTCATGTCCCTCATCTTGTCTAATTTAACATAGCCAAATAGGAAACTGATATTTCCCATCAAATTTGTCCTTGCCTAGTTCAGCGATTATTTTCAGTGCCAAAACTGCAATATGCATAATTGCTCCATGACTTTAGCAATCTTAGTGCCATGCTCCTCATTCCACAACCAAGGAAGATTTGGCACAGTGTATCTGGGACGAAGGACCACATCTCAAAACAAGGAGCCAGAAAGCTTGAGTGGGATTAGGTTCAGGCTTTTGTGAAAATTCTCTCAAGCAATAACCAGTGTCCCCTAAGAAGGATCTAAAGAGTATGCCCCTAGGACCCAAGGACCCTCCATTAAGCCCCACCTGTTAAAGGTCCACACCATCTCCCACCACTGCCGTACAGGAGAGAGGGGTACACTAAAACTATACCCAAACTACAGCATGCTCTTTATCTGAATTTCGGGATAATTTTCTTACTTTTTTTTTCTTTTAATTTAGTGTCCCACTAAAAGTACTATTCATTCTTTATAATTTTCATACTGTGGGCAGAGTGGTTTTGCTAAAATGTATATTTAATGACACTACTCTCCTTAAGGTAATTATATTATATTCACAGTTTCCTAACAAATTCAAACCTCTGATAAGCACAAAATATTTACTGATCTATTTATTCAATATTAATCTCATCTCTCTAACACCTTCCTCCCTGGCTACCAGACTCTTTACTTCTTCTGGGTACAACTAAATACAATTCCAAAACACACTTCCAGTTGTTCATACACACAGGTCCTCATAGGTAGAACAAAACTACAAAACTTTTATGTCTGTAATTCCCTGCAAATGCAATCCTCAGCTCAAGTGTTACCTTCTTTAGGAAGCTGTTTTAGATTCTTCATTTTGATTTAAATTCTTCTCCAGTGAGTTATCCTCAATACTTTCCTATTTTCTTTAATAATCTACCAGTAATTTTAATTAACTCATGAACTCATGAAGAGCAAGGGGTGGTATTCATCTTTTTTTTAATCAACAGCTCTTTATATTCCATAAATGTTTGCCAAATGAATGAATAAATGTATCCATGTGCTCTGAGGAACACAAAAGACTTCTCTGATTTGTTCTCTATTCTAAATATCTTACATTTTAAATTTATAGTTAAGAAAATAGAGGACATTTAAAAAATGTAAGGCCATATAACTAAATATGGAAAATTGGTAGGGGCTACTACTATAGCAAAATAATATTATGCAATCAAATTTTATTTTAAAAATTTATTTCTAACATTGAAGAAAGCTGAGATTTTTTTTGCCTCTCTGAGGGTAGGATACAAAAGCACTATGAACAACAAAAGCCTAGTTGTTGGCTTTGGGTTCCAAAATCGGTCCTAAAATTTTGTGGCAGACTTGACAGTTTTGAAGGCTAATGAGCATTTGATCTGCAAGAGCATGGCCTTTTGAGAGAGGCAAATATTTGCAATAGAGGCTGGAAGACTTAACAGAAGAAAGTTACAGAAAACCTTAAGAGTCAGAAAAGATATAGAATTTAGTGCAAAAAATACACAGAAAGGAAATCAACTCTTTTGGGATAAAGGGTGCAGCTTGGAGAAAGGCAGAAGACAGAAGAGAGGCTAGGCATTGGCATTGGCATGATATGCCTACTTTCTGTCCCTCTTCTAAGATGAGGACTAGATGACATAAAATATCTGAAAAGTTGAAAAATTCAATTCTAGAAAAGAATCTCAGGGTTGAGCCTGGGAAGTCAGTGCTTATTAGAAAATTCCCATGTTGACAGGCCGCCTGAGAGTCAGCATGTGTGCAGATGGATCTCAGGTCAGCCTCATGGGATTTTGTACAGTCTAGCAGGTTGTGGGAACAGCTGCACAGTTTTCTTAGTCCTCTGTCGAAAGCCTGTAAACACTAAGAGGGCCATTCAGGTTGGAAATCATAAACACAATCATCAGAGGTTGCCAGTGTATAGCAGGTCACATGAAACTGGCAGAGTCCAGCTAGAAAAGAGGTCTGCAGACCAATTTCCTCCTTAGAATTCTGATCATCCAAGAGAAGAAGAAGAAGAGGAGGAGGAAGAGGAGGAGGAGAAGAAGATGAAGAAGAAGAAGAAGATGAAGAAGAAGCAGAAGAAGAAGAAGAAGAAGAGGAAGAAGAAGAAATAATGGCAAGGAATCTTCAATCAGTAGCACCGAAAACTGGAATTGAGTTATTTACATTAAATCAACAGGTTTAACACTATCAGATCTTTGTATACCTGAGTTGTGAATGTAACAGATTGTAAATAGAAGAGGCTAGGATGGCGGAAGTTGTTGGAGAAGAGTTGTGGAGGAAACAAAACTTGAGAGAGTTGTTGAAAGGCAGGAAAAAAAATGGCCCATGAGAAAACAGCATGGGATGAGTGAAACTAACCTGAAAGCAGAGGGTGAAATGTGAGCAGGAAGACAATGGGATCAGATTACAAAGATCCCGAGTGCCACGTTTAAGAACATAGGCCTTCAAGATTTAAGCAGGCTGAGTGGATTTTGGGAAAAGGCTCATTCATGAGAGGTGTGCCCCCGAAAGAAGAGGTAGGATTTGCCTCTCAGTAGCCACTTTCCCTCTGGCTTCTGTACTTATACACTCAGTACCTATATGGAAAGCTGAGCTACAGAGACTTTTATTCCCCAGCTTTTGAGGGGGTGGGCATGCAAACGGCTGAGGAAAACAAAGTGGACCTTCCCTGTAGAAAAACACCCACAAATTGGGGTTCTGAAGCCTGGGCCCGGAGCCTCCTTTGGGAAGAACCAGTATCTGAGCTATGAAGTGGAAATGTCAGAGGGATGAGAGGACAGTGGGAAGGGGAGTGGGGGAGAAGGAAAAAGGGAGAGATTTTGAGGGGGTGGGCATGCAAACGGCTGAGGAAAACAAAGTGGACCTTCCCTGTAGAAAAACACCCACAAATTGGGGTTCTGAAGCCTGGGCCCGGAGCCTCCTTTGGGAAGAACCAGTATCTGAGCTATGAAGTGGAAATGTCAGAGGGATGAGAGGACAGTGGGAAGGGGAGTGGGGGAGAAGGAAAAAGGGAGAATGAGAGGAAAGAGACCCCAGTAAGCAGTGCGGCCAAATGGAGTCTGGGGAGAAATTCAGATGGTTCAGGGCATCTTCTTAAACTGCCTTGTGGGGGATGTGAAATATAAATGTTCTCATCTACCTCCCACAACATCTTAAATAAAACCTAGAATTCATTAAAGTGGATGCAAGAAGTACTGAAAGCAGATCCAAGACTGGTGCTCACAAGATTGGTGCTTATGAAGAAGCTGTAAGTAGCACAGGCCTATTGTCTGTGCATCTCTCAAACCTCAAAACACATACAGGCAAGTGACTTAATGCCATTTCCAATGTGGCTTAAAAACTAAACCGTCCAAGAGAGACCCACACTCAGGAACTGAATTTCTCCTTTATTTTCTGATACTTTTCTTGGATGCTTGGCCATGGACGCTATGGAAAGTGATCAGAGAACACAGGAACACAGAATATAGGCTTCCAGTTGTGCTTTCTTCAGTTCTCAGGTGAGCCACCTCCCAGATGTGCCATCCAGGGCAAGCTGCCTAAATAGAAGGAGTCCTTGTTTTCTCAAGTGGGAAACGAGGCTAAAACATCTCTCATAGTATCTCTGTGAATAATAAAGTAAGACTTTGTATGTGGAGACCTGGTGATACAGTGTAAAAGTTTCAACTTTAGAGGTATGAATTTTGACTTTCACAGCTATTATGTTAGGTGACATTGGGAATGTAGAAAACTATGAGATTTAGATTCTTTATCTATAAACTGTGTATAAAATGTGTCTCTGGATAGAATCCTGTGAAGATTACATCAGGGATTATCACATTGTTAGAGTTCACATTTGGGAGCTACGGGGATGTAAAGTGCCTGGTACAATTCCTGCCACACCCAATGCGTGAATAAACAGGATCCACTGGTGTGATTTTTGATGTACTGCATGCTCTAGAATTTGCTCAACTCATACAATGGTAAGATGCTCATCAGAGAAGGTTCCATCCCCCAGGTGACAGTGCATACTCTACATGAGTGTGTCGCCAGTAAGTGCAACTCTCGGGAACCAAGAGGTGGAAGTTCAAGTGATCTATTTGCCATCACTCTCAAGTTGTTTCTGTAACTCTAGGTTCTATAATTTAAAGATTCTAATTTCTAATCGGAAATCTTCCCCTAGATGATGCAGTAACACTCCCACAAGACCTCAAGCTTTGGCTACTGCCAGACACTCTATACTCCTAGAGGTGGGACCCAGCAGGCAAGGAGAAGGGTCAACATTCCGGCAAGTATAACTGGCCTGATCATTAGGAAGAAGAAAAGCAATGTTACAGAATGGTGTAAAGTAGTTTGCCACTAAATTAACTTGGGGTTTGCTTAGTATTTTGTAAATCAAATTTGATGATAAAAGAACAAGTTCAGCAGCCACCATCTCAGAAGGGTGGCTCAAAACCCTCAGAAACCCTCAGAGTCTGGACCTTGAAAATGTAAATTTTCCAGTTAGGCAGAGGTACTGGTTTGATTGTGAGGAAGGATTTTGAATGGATAGATGATAGAGGAAATGACGATGACTACCAGTTATCAAACCAGCCGAAACCAGCTGCAGTGGCAGAGGGCATCCTACCAACCTATCTGAAATGAAGGCCCAGAATCTGTTGCATGTAACCAGTGTTATCCATGGAAGAAACCCCCCATCTTCCTGCCA